GAGGTTCGGCTTCGGTATAATAAGGGTTTCGGTCTAGGAGGCTCGGTTCCATTAGAGCTTCGGTCCTATAAGGCTGTTTTTCAAGGAATCTTCCCGTCTTGAGTGATTTTTGACCAAGTTAAGGGTCGGGATGCCCCGAATGATTATAAAAAGTTGAAGGAGGTTATGAGAGAGATTTGGGAGAGATTTGAGAGAGATTTGAGATAGAGAGATTGAGAGAGACTTTGTTTGTGACCTTTGCGAGTGTTTAACTTCGAAATGCAAGGTTTGTAAACCCCGTTTTGCCTTGTTATGAGCGTTATACGCCCCCGAAGGGTATGTATTAATGTTTTTATCGAGTAGTTCCATCACTTACCCTGATTAGGGTTTAGATTTTCTTAACACGTGAAGACTCGATGTGATATTTTGCATTAAGATAGTGTGTTGTTCAATAGTAAGCACGATGTAAACCCTAATATACAAGGGTTAGATGAGTTGACCAGTTTGACTTGTTGACTTTATTTGACTTTGACTTGACTAAAAATTGACGGTTGTCAAAGTGACCCCAACGGCAAGATACATGCTTCAAAACCAAGAAAACAATGACATGATCCTAGCCCAGGATCTTGATACTATAGATAAACTCAGGGATCTCGCCAAGATTCGCATAGCTGCTCATCAACGGAGGATCACCAAGGCGTACAAAAAAATATAAAATTCATAAGGTTCCAAATAGGAGACTTGGTGCTAAGGAAAACAATCCAAAACACCATGGATCCTAGTGTAGGTAAACTGGCACCTAAATGGGAAGGACCATATCTCATAGATGCCAAAGCAGGAAAGGGGGCATATTGGTTGGCTACCCTCGATGGAAATGTCCTGACAAGATCCTTGAATGCTATACACCTTAAAGCTTATTTTATATAAGTAAGATTAGTTATTTTCCGACACACTTGAGGTACACACTCTCTTTACCCTTTACCCTTTATCTTTATTTTTATTTGCTTTCTTCGAGTACCATTACTAACTTAAACATGGGAGGGGAGTTAGCTAGACTAACGCCCACCCCTAGCTAACGTTTGATGTGCGCAGGGACTCAAGGATCCTGACACACAAGGATCCTGACTACAAGGATCCTAATAAACAAGGATCCTGACAAATGAAGACTCTGGCACCTGAGAGTTCCATAACTACAGATGTCCTCTGATTCGTAACACAAGTATCTTAAGAATAGAGGCTGATTATCTCTCTTACGAATAAGGGTACTTAATCCCCTCTAAGGTTTAATGAGTTAACTACCTCTTTCACACGAGTTAAGGTTTATACGCCTCGCTTGGATGCACGTTATCTAACAATGGGATGCGAATAAGGGGATCATTTCATGCTGCAGTGACTTGCCAACCCTCTTATTTCTGAACATAAGTTAAGATCCTAAAGTTGATATCCAAGGTTTATAACATTTTCATGTTATCTCAAGTTGGGATCCTCCCCAGATAATGCACAAGGTTTATAACATTTTCATGTTATCTCAAGTTGGGATCCTCCCAAGATAATACATAAGGTTTTTAAACATTTTCATGTTATCTCAATTTGGGATCCTCCCCATATAATACATAAGATTTATAACATCTTTCATGTTATCATATGATTTGGGATCCTCCCCTGTAATTTGCTAAGATTTAGGATTTTCCCTAAGGTTTTTCGGGAATTATGATACCAACGTATTGATCGAAGATGAGATACTCCCCGGAAAATATACAGGATTTGTAGAATTGTAATGTTGCAAAAGTTCTCTCAGTTATTTCCCAAGTTAGAGTCATTTCCAATCAATTCTTAAGAAAAAATCCTCCTTAAAGTTTACTGAGTTAAAGACAATCAAGGATCCTCCTTGACAAATAAGGATCCTTCCATGAAAGAACTATAAGATCCTCTTGAGTAAAAAGAATCGTGACTTTGCACATCTCTTGGAGTAAGTCCTAAAAATCGCGAAGCCGAAGGATAATCAGGTTCTATTTATCCATATTTTTCAGAAGTTGTATTTCTTATATGATCGATAGTATCCTAAATGCATCTTGACCAATTTGGGATCCTAAATGTATTACTAATTGTTTTTAGGTTATTCGGATTCTAAGATTTCTTGTAAACTCTGAACTCCTTAGGATCTTGATTATAAGGATCCTCAAAAATCCTACTGTTACAACCACGCAATTATAAACGTGCAAAGAATTATTAAACAACCATAGCATTAATATGGTTATCTATCAACCCCTCAAAAAAACAGAATATTAAATTGTCTTTCATCCTTCGAAACCAAAAACTATTTAATCTACTTCTTTGTAGGACTAGACCTTAGACTGGTCATCATCGCCTGGGATTTCCTCCTCCCCGCCTGCCTTTGGCCGCTACCCTTCAGGATCCTGACCAGTTTTAGCAGATTCACCAATCAATTAGGCAAGAGCGACACGCCACCGTGCCAGGTCCCAGGATCCTGCATTAGCCGCATCTTCAACCAGTTTGATCTCGGCTTCCCAGACGGCTATATCAGCACTGTCCTTTTCCTCGGCGATCACTTCCTCCATCTCCACGATGTGCTCCTCTTCCTTTTCGGAATTCTCTTTGCTCAAGAGCTCCACCGTTTTTAGGAGGTCCTCGTTGGTTTCTTTCCACATTTTCCCTTGCTCTTTGAGGGCTTGCTCGGCTCTTTCAGCACGAATCCTCAACTCAGGGGAGACACGGTCAGACACCTGAAACAAGAAAGATGTAAGAGGTAGAGAAAGGTAAAAATATAAATGGGAGGAGGATATTTATTCTTACAGCCTGAGAAAATGAAACCAATTTCTGGAGCGCATCTTCCACCCTAAGATTCTCCAAGCTCAATTCAGTGGATCCCGTATTCTTTCTTTTCTTAGATCTCGGAGTTTTCCCGGTCAGATCTTTGGGGGTTCTTATGATGGGGGGCAAAGTCTTCTCTTTATTCATCGTCAATTGACCACTGGACATTGTTGTATCCAAGTCATCAAGGGTAAAATGGGCGCCGAAACGGGAACTTTTGGATTCTAGACAAAATAATAAGAAGTCAGGAGCCCTCATATGATAGAGAAGAAGAATTTAGGATCCTTACCTTTGGACATAGAAACAGTGGTAGATAAGCTCTCTTGAAGATTGGATTGGCTAAGCTTGAATGACCTCTCTGATTTGGTTAAAGCGGAAAATATTTGGATCCTGTTCTCTATGTCTTCAGCGGGAGCAACCAAAATGTCAAACATAAAGGCTGCAAAACATCATAAAAGATAAGAAAAGTGAATGTCGAGATCCTTAATATAGAAAAATGAAGTCCTACCCTTTCTAACCCAAGACTAAGGTAAGAGATTCACATCAGGAATGGAGTCACGTCTTACGAAGAAATATTTCCCTTTCCAAGCACCATCATTGTGCTTGGACTTCAACACAAGGGGAAACCTGTCGGATTTGACCTTCAATAGAAAGCGGGAATTCCCAAAGGTAGTAAGATTGTAAACATAGGCTAGCTCGTTTAGACCGACAGAAAGATCCCTAGAACAATTCAAGTGATCGATCCAATAGAGGATCATCCAAATTGTTCGCATAGCTTGGATATACGAGATCTTTGTGATCTCAAAAAAATTCAGAAACGATTCTAGAGAAAGGATAAGAAAGCCCTAGGGTCAAAGGATACTCGGGGAGACAAAACCAAATAGAAGAAACGTAATCGGGTTGAATCCTAGCAATAAAAGCCCTAAAGACGATGTCAACAGGAAAGGTTCCAGACGACTTGAACATCTCAATATCATCATTAGTGAAGGTGTAGGTTTCCTCGTAAGACAAGATCCTATGATCCGTGAAATCATAATCAGGTATGGCCATGATGTTTTCACGAGGTCGAGTTTTTTTCCTGCCCATGATCGAAACCGAAAAAGAACAAAAAGAAAAGGATACAAGAAAAGTACCTTCGAATGATATTCGATGAATATCAAGAGTGGAGGGTAAAAGAGTAAGGAAAAGCTGAATTGCAAGGTGTTTTATTTATACAAAAATTACAGAGAGGTAAAAGGTTGATGTGACCTAGTCTAATGGCTAGAATTCTAACCATTAGGATTTAAAAAATTATCTTATCCATTAACATTTTACAATCTTATCTCTTTTTACAAAATTATACCTTTAAATATTGGCAACTAACTCCAAAATATTTCGCAGGAATAATTTGGGGGCAATTGTTAGGGCAGGATCCCAGAATTATATTCAGGATCCTCAAAATACTTCAGGATCCTCACTATTATCATTTATTCTCCTAACGTTTAAACAGTTATATGCTTTGTTATTTTTCTCACATGTGTAGAAATAGTCAGCCAAAGACTTATTCTCAACGAATAGTCATCGTTACCATGCAAAAGACCCGGAAGACCAAGTCAAGTAACGTCTATATGTTGATCTCGGAGGATCCCAAAATTGTCGGACTTCTTGTTATTAGCTTTAGACTATAAAAAACAATTGTATTCATCATACTACACACGACACTTAGGAGAACTACGATACTTATTTTTGCTTTTCATACATACATCTCTGTAATCATCATTTTCAATCAATAAAACTATCAAGGCAGGTGATCATTGTCAACTCCCAAGGTTTTATGTCGGAGATCCTAACAAGGATCAAGGGCTTTCCTTGTAAATCACTCGTGTCACTTTGATCACCATTTCATATTCATTCTACCTTGAACATCACAGCCTCTCATACAATTTGGTTGATTTTTTATTGTTCATTTTTTTACCAAAACAATGATATTCCAATAGTTGATGATTTGGTTCCTATTGTTAATGATATTCTAATGGTTGATGATATTCTAATAGAAGAGGAAGCAATTGAGGTCCCAATGAAGGAAGAAATTATTAATGAAGTTCCTTTGGTGAATGAGGCTGATGTCATTATGGTGATAGAATCAGAAACAGATGATGTTCCAGTGAAGGTTGTCCAAGAGCTGAAAGAGAGTCTTGATGAAGTTGGAGATGCAATTTGATCAAATTCTTGGTTTTGGAGATGCATCAGATACATCTGATGTTCTATTGGTGAATGATGGTGGTGCAGAACCTAAATTCAGTAAAGGAAATGCATCATATGTTCTCCCAAACATAATCAAGATAAGTGTAGAAGAAATAACAGATTTACTTGAAGCAGGATATTCCAAGGTTGAAATAGAAAGCACGAGGGTGCAAATTAAACCTAATGACACTTTACCAGTTAAGATGTTAATCTGTTAACCTTATATTTTTTAATTTATATTTTTTTCCCTTTATATATGTTTGTTATTGTTTGCATCAGGAGTTAAATGAGGAGGAGCATGTTGTTGATGAAGGTGAAGGTGACTTTCTTAATGATGTTATAAATGATGAAGGTGATGGTGGAGGTGTTGTTCTTGTAAAAGGTGAAGGTGATGTTGTGATTGAAGGTGAAGGTGGTATGGTTGAAGTTGAAGGTGATGTTGTGACTGAAGGTGAAGGTAATGTTCTAAATGATGGTAATGAGGTTGATGATGATAGTAATGAGGCTAATGATGAAGGCCATCTGAAATTGCCTAAGTTGAGGAAAAGAAGTCATCTGAGAGGATCACTAAACTAAAGCTTAAAAAGGCAGTTTTTAACAAAGATGGGGGTGGTTCGACATGTTCAAATCCAGTGAATTTAGAGTAGTTAGGTAGGGATAATGCGGATTTAGGTAGGGATGGTATACTTGGGTATTTATATAGGAAGCCATTTTCGGTACCTTTGGGGTTGCCTTTTTAGGATATATTTTAGGAAATTCGGTACAAATGGATGGATGTTACATGATAGTTGATATTTTGTTATTTAATCTTTTGTAATGGACCTTGGATGATGTAATGACCCCCCCCCCCCTCTTATGGTATGTTATCTTTACATTATGATATGTTTGTTATGTTTATATTATGGATCATTTGCCTTTATCATTACAACATTTTACTTTGAATTTGACCATTTGCATTTACATTTAACCAATTTCAGTATTGTACTTTGCCATTAGAGTAATCAGCTCTACCATTTGTTAATACATTTGACCATTTTCAACATTATACTTTACCATTAAAGTAATCAACTATACCATTTGTTAATACATTTAACCAATTTCAAAATTGTACTTTACCATTAAAGTAATCAACTATACCATTTGTTAACACATTTAACCAATTTTAGCATTGTACTTTACCATCAGAGTAATCAACTATACCATAAACATAAATATTTCATAAATATTTCACAAATAACTTCTACAAGTAATAGCTTCATACCAAAACAACAGTTACATATGCATAAGCACTTTTACATACTCAATCCAAACATTCCCAAATGATTTACATCTTCAAAACCAATATTGTCGACATGGCAAAAATAATAACTAACAGCCCCACAATTAATTCTAGCAATATCTTCATATGTCCCTGCCCCTACTCTGTGTGAGATGGTTTGATAATCATATGGCCATCTTCTTCATTGTACAATTTGAGAAAACCACAACCCTCTCCTTCCACCTAGAAAAAACAATAGTTGGGATAAATTACATACGTTTTTCCGGGTTTCTCAAGAAATTTAAAAATCAGGGTAAATTGTTTACCTGGTACCTTACACACAACTCCGCAACCACCTCTAACTACTCTTTTGATTCTCAATCTTGAACCGCCTTGGAAGCTCGATTTGGCAGAAGAAGTTGACATTTTACAGAGAGGGGAGAGAGAGAGAGAGAGAGAGAGAGAGAGAGAGAGAGAGTGTGTGTGTGTGTGTGTGTGTGAGATAGAAGAAGAAGGGTGTTAATTTGGGATCGATGTTAACATACGTGTGTTGGGGGTTAAATTGGGATAGAGGTAGCTGGTTTAGTAAAGTGGAAACCGGTGAAAAGCATTAAATGAAACAAGAGTGTCAAATATGAGACATTTGTGTAAAAAAAAACAACTTTGAACATAACTGTTGTTTTTTTTTATAAAATTATGGGTTTTTATGTCAATAACCCAATATTTCATTGCCATAGCAAGAATAAAAGAACTATTCATATTATTTTGAGGGTTTATTTGTTTATAAACTATATATATTAATCACGAGAAATCAAATATATTTTTAATTTATGTTCATATATATTCTTTTACTAATTATTTGTTTTTTGGATTATTCATGTCATTATTTTATACGAGTGAAAAAAATATACAAATAAAAATAAAATATAGTTCAAATTAGAACCTAGCTAAATGCTAAAACCAATTTAAGATGAGATTTTTTTCTACACAACATTAAAAAAAAATAACACAGCAAAAATCTTGTTATACACTGTCTAAGAGCTTCAAAAGAATGTTTTTGTTTTGCAATTTTTTCCGGCCATTCTCTTAGACGTTTGAAAAGGCTTTCAATGATTTTTTTTGTTTTAATTGCATATGGACATACTTTATATGCATATGAAAAAAATGGAACCAATTAGACGTAACATAACATGATTTTTGGTGTTTTTTTTTTAAATATTATGCTGAACAAAATTCTCAAGTTCCTAGTGTTTTTTGGTTCTCACTATGACTCATGTGTGTGTATATATATATATATATATATATATATATATATATATATATATATATATATATATATATATATATATATATATAAGGTTCTAAAAATATCGTCATGGCTCTAAAGCTTGTGTCTGCCGTCAAGCTTTACCAAATCGCCCCCTTAACTCATATATGTGTATAAAATAGAATAATAGCTGAAAATATATATAAAAATATTAATTATATACAAAATTGCCGCCTTAAATCATGCCTTACAAACGACGTGGCTCGCCAAGGCTCGGAAAAGCTTGAGGCTTGACATTACCGCCAAGTCACTTCTTACATTATTTAGAACCTTGCATATATATATATATATATATATATATATATATATATATATATATATATATATATAGACAAAACTACAAAAATGGTCCCTGTGGTATGCAAATTTTTGGGGTTTTAGTCTAAACCCCGAGTTTTTTGGATTCATGGTTCTTTTGGAGTGGTTTGTATGTGGAATCGGTCCCTACACTTAACTCCCGTTAAAATGGATCTGTTAACCCCCTCATGTGCCTCACACGTGAGGGTAAATCCATCATTTCATATGTAAGGGACCATTTTTGCATAAACCATTTTTTGGCTTATTTGACCTTTACCCCTCATTTACTTTCCCCAACACCCGTCAACTCCCCAACTCCCTCCTTCTTACTTCTGCTCCGTTGAACCTGCAAAAAACCCTCGTTCCTTATCCAAACAAGTTAATCGACGCAACACATACAAGGCCATACGTTTAATACGAAATTGTGTTCGTAATGTGGAATATCATACCAAAACATGAAGTTGTTGATGTATCAGCCGTATATGGTAAGTTGCTTTGTTTTCTTTAACTTTCATATTTTATGTTTTCTTATTGATTTAGAACAAAAAATGCAAAATTTTAACTTTGTTACAATTTTGATTTTTAGCGGGTGCACCCACATGGTTTAGTATTAAGCTTCATCACGGTGGGAAATTTACTAAGTTACCTGATATAAAGTACATTGGAGGTGAAGTGCGTTATGTTGATTATGTGGACATAGATGAGTTTTCTGTACATGAACTTGATGCCATAATGCTTGACCTAGGTTACCCAGACCCACGGAATTCTGAATTCGCTAATGAATCCCCAGTGATATACTACCATTTTAGGATACCCAATGGTGACTTTCAATTTGGTCTTAGAGCTTTAGGGAATGATCAGGATGTGATCAGCCTTTCTAAATACATTGCACATAACAAGCTGATTGAGGTGTACACAGAGCATGGGAAGACAAATGTACTAACTTACTTCATGTCTCCAAATGCAAAGGGTAAAGTTGTCATTGAGGAATTACCAGAAAATGATGATCAAGGGGCTGAAGTTGAGGGTCAAGTTCATGTAGAATATCCATCGAAAAATATGAACCATGGTAATGATGAGCCTATTGGTGAGTACATGTCTCTGATTCTTTTTGGGAGTAAGAATGATAATTTCTCACCAGAGTATACAAGGGGTAGAGTTGGGAATTCCAAAAGAGGTGAAGGTTCTTGGAGCAAGAGGCTTAATTTAGATTATATTGATGAGGGTGTTCACATATCAAATGAAAAGGATGATGATCAGGATGGTTCAACTGATGTTCAGGAGGCAGCAACTTATGTTCATAATGATGAGATGGATGATGTTAGGGATGTTGCAACTGGTGTTGAAGAGGCATCAATTGTTGTTGAAGGATGCTACAACACCTCCTGTTAATAATGATGATCAACAATTGAATGAGCTATTTGATAACCTTATGGAAAATTTGATTGGAAGTGATGAGGATGGTGCAGAGTATGAAGGGGATGGAGAATCCGAAGAGAGTAATCCAGAGTATGAAGATGATGATGAATCTCAAGAAAGTGATCCACAGTATGAACAGGATGATGAATCTCAAGAAAGTGATCCAGAGTATGAAAAGGATGGGAAACGAATAGAAGATGAAGATAAAGTGGATGACATAATGGATGTGGACATCAATATTGAAGATGTGGATGTGGACATGGGAGACTTCACTCTCAATGTTGAAAGTGGTGTGGAAGGATCATGTATAAATGGTGTTCATGGGCATAAACCTGAAGATATAGAAGTGGTCAACAATGAGGAATTCGAATCTTTGGATGAAGGATCTGACCAAGTCAGAGAGAGAAGAGATCTTATCAAGAATTTTGGAAAAGAAAAAAGGTGCAGCCTTGGGGTAGTACATAAACAATCATTTTCAGTTGGAGATAAATTTAAAAGTAAAAAAGAATTAAAGGAGGCAATTGATCTGCATGCACTAGAATCAAGAAGGAATCTTTTCTCCAAACATGTGTGAAGTGTTTAATGGGAAGATAGACAAAGGAAGGGATAAACCTGTCATTGGATGTTTAGAATACATAAGGAAGTATCTAATAAAGAGGATATGCAATGTCATGAAGGAAATGAAAAAGGATAAAGGTCCACTAACACCTACAGCAACAGACATCCTGGCTGCAAGAAAAACAGTTGCTTCACAATACATTGCTAGGTGGAATGGGGGAGACAAGTATCAAGTCACAGGAGCGTTGTAGGATCAACATGTGGTTGATGTTAGGAACCAAACATGCACTTGCAGAAAATGGGAATTAATTGTAATTCCATGCAGACATGCAATTGCAACTCTGAATGAAATGAGTAAAGACCCAGAGGCTGAGCTTAACATTTACAAATGGGTTCACAAGGTGTATTTTCTAGAGACATGGAAAAAAGATTATTTATTTAAGGTGGAGCCAATTAAGGGGAGGTCCATATGGCCCAAAAGTGAATGTCCCACAAAGCTAATCCCTCCTCCACATCGCACTCAGGTGGGAAGGCCTAGGAAAAAAAGAAGACAAAGTGAGGGTGAAAAGTTAAGCAAAAAAGCATAGGGCAAGCCAAGGTGATGGAGTGAATGCTACATAAGAAAGAGGTTCCCAAAGACCAACAATGATGGAGTGCAGAAGCTATCAAGGAAGCATATAAGTGTTACTTGTAGCAAATGCAAGAACAAGGGACACA